GCCTCCCAGAGTGCTCAGACTGCAGGCCTGAGCCACTGCACTTGGCCTAATAATGATCTTTAAAAATTTTCCTAGCATGGGCAGTGCCTATGGCTCAAAGGAGTAGGATGCCAGCCCCATATGCTGGAGGTGGCGGGTTCAAACCCAGACCTGGCCAAAAACTGCAAAAGAAAAAAAAAATCTTTTCCCAACACACCTAAGATCCTCTCACGGCACCCTAGGGTGCCACAGCACACCAGTTGAAAAGCACTGGTATAAGTGTACAAGTCAGGGTGTGACTGTGTCTGCGGTGCCTGCCCGGTGTGTACCTGCCTCTACCTACGTGCACCTGTGTCTGTGTCCATGTCAGTGTGTGTCGGTACTGTGTATACCTGCACCTGTCTGTGCCCTCATCTGTCCTGAGGTCACTGAGGTGCTGGAGAGGAAAAGAAAGAGCCACCTTCCGTGTTACTCAGATGATGGCAAGGAGGGCGGCATGGCTGGGCTTGCACATACCCATGGTGGCGGAGAAGATGACGATGCCCAGCACGTTCATGCCGTCGCTGGTGCCAGGCTCCGCCTTGTACACGACTTCAGGCGGTGGTGTCAGGTCCAGGGCGAAGTTCTGCACTCGAGAGCCGTTCTCCTCCTGGACCCCGTAGATGAGGATCCGGCGAGGAGGGGTCTCCTCCCGTGCCACCTTGGGGGTCTTGACAACCGGGGTGGTCTTGGTGCGGTACTACTGGGCGACACCCCAACCAGGAGGGAGATATGGTCAAGTGTGGTTATTAATATCAGCAGCAACAATTGCATCCTGAAAGCACATTTGTATCCACTCTTATCCTATCGGAGGGAGTGACAATAAGCGTGTGAGCTAGGCAGGGCTTATCGTCAATATTTTACCAACAAGGAGTTGACAGTCCCTCCGCCATCTCTGTGCTACCCAGCCTGCCTTCCTCATGCCCTCATCCCTTCTCCTGTTCATGCACAGAGCCATCTGGGTCTTCTCTAGCCACCTGTCCATCTCCTCATCACCTGAATAGTGCTCCATTCACCCACCTGGACCCTCCCAACTGTCCATTATCCATCCACCTAAGGTCAGCCAGCCTGCCCTCCACTGGATGGAAACTCAGAACTTCTCCTAAAAGGCTCAGCCTTCTAGATAAGGTGAATCCAGCTGCCTGCCCTTCCCTCCGCCCTCAGGGCATTCCTCTCCCCCTCATTCCTCAGGTATTAGGAGCCCAAATAAGGGAGCCTCCTGTCTTCCCAAATATCACAGCATCAGTAAGTTAAGTCTTCGAGAGAAAGGAAGGAACCACTAGAGAAATACACAGACCTAAAATCTCTGTGCGTTTTCCTCATCTGTAAAATGGGATCCTAGTTAATCTACGTAGTAGCCACCTCACTGATTAAACGAGACATATATATATCTCTGTATGAAGTGCTTACAACTGTTCCTGACACCTGGCAAGTCCTACGCAAGCTTTACTTTATCATCATCACCATCCCAATGCCGAAACTCTGTGCTGGTTGCTGGAGACAAAAAAAGTGAATTAGACATGATTTCTGCTCTGAGAGCCTTGGAGAAGGAGTGACTAACTGTCCCAAAGTGTCAGCTTCCCAACGATGGGAACACTTGACTTGGGTCTTGAAGGACAGGTAGGAATTTGCCAAAAGAAAAAGGGCATTCCAAACAGGTATGAAGCAGAGTGATGTTTTCTGTCTGCCTTGTGTCTTCAATAATTCCCATCACAAGTGGAATAAAATCCAGACTCCCTCGGGTGGGTGGACATGTGGGTAACTTAAGGGAAGAGTCATATCTTGATGTGCTTGCATTGCTAGAAATAATGATTTACTAAGTTTAAAATCAATTTTCAATTGTTTATGATAAGCTAGGAATTGAAGTAAGAAAATGATGGTGGATGATGGGCAAAAGGGAAAAGGGATAGGAGAGAAGTGGATCAGAGAACAGCATGCACGCTTTCAGACTGCAACAGCAGTACCGGGAGCTCCAACTCTGTTGCAGTGTGACACCCTGAAGCCTGGCATTTTCGAACAGAGAAATGGTCTTGCCAGAGTTTCACTCCTCTTCCAGTATGACTTGGCTCAGAGGTCACTGAGCACTGAGAGAGGCTCGAGCAGGGCTGCCCTCTCTGGGAGAGTGAGTGCATTTGGGGAGTTAGGAAAACAGTGAGGGAGTGTAGAACACGCTGGAGACAGGGGAGGCCCCTAAATTTTGTTAAGAGAGAAAAGGTCTGTCAGGGAGATAAGGAGGAAAATGCCTCCTTTCTTCTGCTTTTTCAGCATTGGCAGTAGTACCAGCTTGTCTGCCCACGAGTCTTCCTGGGGGTTTAATCACCACTCTTGAGATCTCTGTGTGGTCTGATTGGGGTCTGCTTTGACATCCTGCTCCTGGACTGTGTTCCCTGTCCCATGCTCTGTGTTAAGATCATAAATAACTTCTTCGACTAATAAAAGTCAGAGGTAAATCCGTCTAATTAAAATAGTTAAAGAAATAGTTTGGGTAGAAAACGCAAGCCCAGCCAGAACCATCACATAAGGGTTTAGGCTTCCCCTGTTAGACTGATGGTTAATCAGGAATGTGCGTAATAAATACGGAGCTAGCCCAGAGTTAGGGGGCTTTTTGCTGGTCCTCATGTTTGGAGGTGGAAGGTTCCCCAGGCCTGCTTTTTAAACTTTTTTCTTGTGCCTTTGACTCCTTATTTTCCCCTCATCCTCTTGTCACCGCCAGTCACTGGGAAAGAACCCACAGTGTAGTTTGGGCCTAGTCTCCAACACCCTCGCCTAGCATTCAGGGCCCTTCGCAATCTGGCTCATTTCATAGGTTAAGAAGAGCTAAGATGTCAGGAGAGAGATGCAGTGATTTGCAAAAGCTTTCACAACACCTTATTTTGAAGGCTTCTCTCCAATTCTACGTCATTCCCTTTGTGTTCCCAGGATCAACACAGGGCCTGGCACAGGGAAGAGGTTCAGGAAATGCCTGCTGGATTGAGTCAACTGACTCGTGAGCATTTTAGAAGGGAAAATAGAATCTGAAATTATCAGAAGCACAAAGACTGATGTACAAGGATGTTTACCACAATACGTAAATATCTTCCCCGGCACAGTGGCTCATGCCTGTAGTCCTAGCACTTTGAGAGGCTGAGGCAGGAGGATCACTTAAGGCCAGGAGTTCAAAACTGGTCTGATCTATATAGTGAGACCCTATCTCTACAAAAAATTTTAAAATTGGCTAGGTTTTGTGGTGGGTGCCTA